GGAGCCCGATGCGGGACTCGATCCCGGGACTCCAGGATCATGACCTGAGCCGAAGGCAGTCGCTTAACCAACTGAGCCACCCAGGCGCCCCCAAACTCCACTTTTGAAAAACTTACTTCTTTTATGTTTCCTTCACCTCTTTAATTATCTTGAATTCAAAATAGCAAAACTTATCTTTGCTTCACCTTTTACTGCTAACATTTCTAGTTCCATTAAATCACAGATTATTATTGCTAAAATAAACCCTAGAGCAGAGTCCTTTATGTAGGTCATAGCTCCCTTTGAGAGTATTTAAAAGCTGTGGCCCTCTTCTCCATTAAAAGGCACATATGTATACACACACGTATACACACATGTGCACACACACACTTCAAACAATTTCAGGGTTTTCAGGGACTCACTGCAGTCGATCCATGGACTACACATTAAGGACCTCTCTCTACCTTAAAGATTGACTAGCTAAGTGGTTTTCACCCTTTGGGGTATATTTCTGATGGCTACCTCTCTAAGCAAGTAACACCATACTTATTTCCCCTATCCACACAGTCTCAAGAGTGAACCCCAGCAACAATGCTTGTACTATAGTACCTTGTTCCTCCAACCATAGTTTATGGGACCAAAGATAAACATCTCCCCCAAGCTAGGGCAATCTCCTAGAATTTGGAATAAGGTCCAAGAGATACTCTATTTGATTAGGCTAGTCTCTTGCAAAGAAGAAAAATGAACTTGTGAACCATAGGGAAGTGGTTAATGTACATGAAGGAAAATCTAAAAAGAAAATAATGAATTAGCCATGAAAGTTGGTAAGAGAGTATTTCTGGGTTCCTGGCTCTTCCCAGGCCTGGGTGTAAAATTAGTAAGACAGATTTGGCCAGACTTGCTCTCCTGCCAGGTTAAGCACAAAATAAGAGAGTTAAGAATATTTGCAGGGGCACCTGGGTGGCTTAGTTGTTAAGTATCTGCCTTCGGCTCAGGTCATGATCCTAGGGTCCTGGAATTGAGCCCCGCATCAGGCTCCCTCCTTGCCAGGAAGCCTGCTTCTCCCTCTCCCACTCCCCCTGCTTGTGTTCCCTCTGTTGCTGTCTCTCTGTCAAATAAATAAATAAAATCTTAACAACAAAAAAAGAGAATGTTTGCAAGGAAATTATTATGGTATGGGTGAAAGAAGTGAAGGCTGATAAAGGACAAGTGTCAGTGCACTCCGAACATTGTTGAATTACAAACAGCAGAGTATCTGGCAAAAACAGAAAGATGTTTAAAACTGAGATCAGAAATGATGGTAATGACAAATATCCCTGATGAACATGGATGCAAAAATTCTCACCAAAATACTGGCCAATAGGATCCAACAGTACATTAAAAGGATTATTCACCATGACCAAATGGGATTTATCCCTGGGCTGCAAGGTTGGTTCAACATCCGCAAATCAATCAATGTGATACAATACATTAACAAAAGAAAGAACAAGAATCATATGATCCT